CAGGGGAAAAAAAAAATCAGGCTTCCTCAGAAAGCAGAAATAAGTTATTACAAACATTTTTGTCACAAAGACACTTTAAGAACACTAACTATTCAAGCTCTCCACAAACAGTTTAGAGGATAGATAATTGTTTCCTGTCAATAGTAATATGAGCAAAGCCCCTCAGAAAGGTAAGTGCCTACATATCCGTTACTAATGTTGTTTTGTTCTTTTTTTTAAAATTCTGATATTAATTCTCTCTTTCTTAAAAAAAAGAGCCCCAAACTAGAAAAACAGGTTACATTTCCTTATAAATGGAGAAACTGGTGTAGGAACATCAGATGTCATTGGGAAAACTATACAAGATCCAGGAAATTGATTCTTTTCTCCTACATCCTATTGCGGTATCTTTATTAGAGGGCTTGTGCTCTCACTAATTAGCTCCTGCAATTACCTGCTTCTGCAATTACAACATGATGGCTGCAGCTGGGATAACTACAGCAAACATACACAACATCTCCGCTTTTGTTGCACAAAAAAGTAACGGGAATGCACCTCATGAATGTGCCACAGTTTACCTGTGATAAGATACTTGTAGTCTCTCACCGATTTAAAAAAACCCATCAGTGTCAACTCCCAGGATCTCTCTCTTGCCCTGTAGCTGTTCAGCGTAGGTTGCTATGTTGTAGCATTGTGAAACTGAAAAGTGGTCAGCAGTCTCTGCAAGGCACTCCATTATTTGGCATGGGCCTCCTGTTAAAGCCTCAGTACTTAAATAATCCATCCAGAAAAAAGTAGTACCTTCAATTAACCACAACTTATACAAGAATTATTTCAAGAAAGTTATAAGGACATCTCCGAGGAGCAAAATTACTCCCATATATAAATCACCAACCTGTATAGTTAGCATATCTACCATAAAGCATCATTAGCTTTTAGTCGGTCTTTAAATGCTTTCACTCCCTGTTCAGATTGTGATTTTCAGCTAAATCAAATAGCTGAGCAGGGTGGCTACCTTATGCAATTATTTGACAAAAAACAAGTGCAGCACAGACTCAGAGCAGGCTGTTTTATTGTATGCCTGTATGACCTGGTTCAACATGGTTGGCTCAGCTGCGTGCTGTCCCCAGTGAAAAAAAACATGGGCATTTTATTTATTTCCTATGTAACTGGTAGAGCTCATTGACTCCACAAAAAGGTCCCAGGCACACGGCAACATTGGGGTATGGCTCATATTACTTAGCAGCTATCTATCACCTTTCAGCCTCTACATGAGTCTGCTGGTTTATTTTATCACTTAATAGGGCTACCATCCTTACCTCTACCCTCCAGGAGGTACCAGTATTTCTGGACTCTTCCGAGGGCACACTGCCATAACAAAACATGTCTAGACTTCTACCTTAGCTTAGCCTAAGTAGAGAACCTCTCTTTCATACCAACATCATCTGAATTTGCATATTGCTTACTGGTTCTTCCTCTGGAAAGCACTGCCAAGTTTGAGCAACTTCTCTGCTTTTAAACTTTTCTGTGAACATATGTCTTAAAAAAAGATATTTACATTTATTATTCAATTAAAAACCTGCATCTTGAGAAGTAATGCATGTAGAGAGTGTATCATCCATCCCCTGGTTTGTTGAGAACCCTCTAAGTATTTCAAAATGGCCTGTAAATTCAAGAATGGGCTGCCTAGTATCTGTATTTGCTAAATTTCTTGGTTATATATAACCCGGTGAGCCTGAAATGTCTAATTAGGTCAGCAAAAGCACATTCTGTTTATCCTTATCATAGTGATACAAAACAAAACAACAAAATTATCAGAAAATGCAAAGGGTAAATGCCTGCCTTTATTTAAAATACATGGCTTTTATTGAATAATACTATGGACAAATCAAGATTTTCAGAGATTTGAAAGCCAGAAATTATCTTTCATTCTACAAAAAAGACACTTCAGAAAGTTATTGAGTAAAAACATTAAAGGAATCTAATTTATAGCAGAAAGACTTTGAAAAAACAATGACTCAATGAATCAAAAAAACTAATTTTAAGATTTATAAAAATGTCAAAGACATAAAAGCTCATAATTTACAAGTGAGGACAATTTATGTCTGCAATATTTTCACGTTAGAATTCCTATTTATTGCTGTCCTCAGTTCATGACTTACCTTTTGTAAGCTGTTTTACCCAAATTGAAGTTACTGGTTGCATTATACAATAATGATTCAAATGTAAGGTTACATGACATCATATGAGACAGGTAATCCAGTGACTCCGTCCCTTTACGGCTATAGAAATGTATGAATTCTATTTGCAATTCTTAGCAATCTTAATATCCAGCATATAATGACAACACGCAGACTTTAGTATGCTTCACTGGCTGTGACAATATTGTAAAGAACACAATAATATTTCTGAAGTAAAAAATTTAGTCCCAAATCATTACTAGTTTTTAAAATGTGGTATTTCTAATAGAAAGTCTTTTTGTATACTTCAGTAACTGACACTTTTGTTATCAATGTATTATTCCATTTCATTTTTCTTTAGCACTTCTTCAATGTGTTTAAACACGCTAGCATCTTCAATGGTCGGTGTTATCTGAAAAGGAAGAATATACAGAAGCATGTGATAGTAGATTATGGGCCTTCAAGAATAAAACAGAATTTCATTCAGAGAATTGTCTAAATCTAGCCTTCAAAAGCAATCAAGAAAAAGTGCCTGGGAAGCTCAGGAACATGAAGATCTTTTGGGTATGCTACAGTAGAAATAAAACGTAATATACTACCTGAAGCCATGGACCAGTTGCAGAATGGTCTAGAGAATCGAAACCATGATGTTGTGTCATTGGACGTGCATGTGTGCCTAATTCATTGAAGCATACACCTTCAGCTTACCTTATATGACTTTCCACTGACAAGTGCAGAAAGAGCTGAACGTGGTATCTTGCCAGAGCGTGTTTTCGGTAGCTGTTCCACAAACACCCCCTTCTGGAAAGCTGCTACTGGACCAACGTTAGTTCTAACTTGCTCAACAATCTCTTCCAAAATCTTCTCCTCTTTTGTCTTTATACCTAGTGAAGAAGTGCATATCCTTTAACCTTTCCGGGATTTTTGCCAAGTCTTAATAACATCAATAGCAGCGAGTTCTCACCTTCTCTCAGGACACACAGCGCAAATGGAACGTGTCCTTTCAAAGGATCCTCCTGACCCACAACAGCACAGTCTGCCACAGCATGATGGGAGAGAACACACTGAGGGACAGAAAACAAAACTAACTACTAACAAAACTAAACTGAACTACTAATAAATAAACATTTCAGTGAAAAAATTCCATAAGCATGAACATAAAAAATAGACTTCTTTCTTACATTCTGACAGCCAAAAGTATTTAATCAGTACACCTCAGGATTCCAATGACACATGTTGCATACACATGCATGTGTATGTATACTTTCATACACACTTACGTATATGTTTTCAAATAAACGTAAGAAATAAAAACTATGGCAGCACAAGGTACAAATACAGAACAAAGCAAAGGTGATTTCCTTACAGCTTTGGGAGAGTATCACATCTTTGGTTTGTTAGCGAGATCTTTGCTGGAACAAATAACATTAGTCTAACATTACAAATAACATGGAGTTAAGTGTGCAGAGCAAGGACCAGAACCACAGAAGCGCTCCTACTACAGGGCTATAAAGTCATATTGGTTCATTCTCTCTGCTCCTTCTATCTTTTTCATTCTTTGTTGCACAAAGGCATAGTTTCAATCAAAGCCAAATAGAGGCCCAACCTGATCCTGCAGCCAGCCTAGTTCAGCTCACTCTCTTGGAAACATTAGGTCTCAGCCTCCTTAGTCAAAAAAAGGGAATTAAACCAGAGTCCCCTCCTTCCTACTACACATTTACACAATTATACAAGTGATGGAAAGTAGCACTAATGTCTCTAACTCTCTTTTAGGGAGAAAAAGTGAGAGATTCTTTTTTTGTTCCAATTAGCTGAGGTTCTCACTGCCTGGAAAAAAGTCACCAAGTTGTCTCAGTACATACTGAGAATTGCGTCACTAAGTCTGGGACAAAGTTGGACTTAAGATACCAGCAGTTGTGAATCCTCTTCCAAAGCAACAGGCTCTTTTCATGCGGTTATCAGTGCCCCTTGGGGCATCTTGTTATGAACAGGGCTTTCAACATATCCTCTGTACTCAGCCACAAAGAGGACCCTACACAAAGACCACACAGAGGTCACATAATGTGACTGTTCTTATGAATTTGTTTATGCATACAGGGACTATACTTTTGCCAGTAACAGATCTTCACATGCGGTGTTGTCAAAATCAAAGGCAGTGGGATGACTGACAGGAAGACTATCTAAAAGACATTTTAAAAATAAAGGCTTTTTTTTTTAAAGTAGGAACACCACATTTGTATTGGCTACTCATACAATGGCATGAGCATGAAGAAGACGACAGGGAAGGTACAGAGAAGACAAAAGAAAAAAAAAAACTGAAGGAAGGAAAAGCCAAATCACTGCTGTTCCAATCAGCAAAAGGGAGGCTCTTGTTGTGACCTGGTTGTGAAACCAATGGTGGAAGGAACAACTCAAAGCATCTCCCACAACCCATCCTAAATGCAGATCTTACCTTCCTTAACATTTTTTAAGGATGGAGAAACTGGCTCTCTGTGCCACGGTCACTACAATACACACCAAGTAGTTTTTAGCAAAATAGATCTGCACAACGTGTTTCTTGCATACTTTGTTTGACAGAACCTGTGCTCACTTCATAAACTATGATCCCAGAAATGTCCCATGCTACAAAAAAGCAAATGGGAAATACTTATCTTAATACTAGAAGCATACGCTATCAAAGTACAAAAGCACAACCATTTTTGCACACCTTCTGAAGCTGTAGCTTTTTCACAGTAATGAAATGGGGTGTACACAAGCCATATCTAGAACAGCAAGTGCAACAGCCTGCAGTTAGTTCTGGCTGGGCTCATTCCAGAACTAGAAGGGCAGAAGAGCCTGCTGCAAAAATACTGTAAGTGCATTTGAATTCAGATGCAGTCTACTTTGTCCAGAAGTCATTGTATCCAAACTGAAAAATCATATGGGAATGAATCTTACACAACTCCACAACTCCATGGTATTTCCATGCATCGCATACACCTATGAGCTTCAGTCACTTCTAGTCCAGAGCCTCAATAATGCATTCCATTTCCTGCTATAACCACCCATTCTTTCCTGCTCTGACTTCTTGATCCTGACCACAGCAACTTAACTGCCATGCGAAAAGAAAAAGAAGAAAAAGAAGAAAATGCAATGAATTGTGGAAAAGCAGACTAGTAAAGTCTACAACCAGAGGACCTGTGCTTCCCACAAAAACACAGGAAAAAGGTCTGCAGTAATTTGACATTACCATCAACACCAGAATTACCTATGGGGCATCAACAGGACCCCTACGGTGGAAATTTATGTGTTGCCAGCTTGTTTTGTAGTAGCTTGTTTGTGTCATTCCAGTCTGTCACTTGTTCATAAAAGTCTAACATCCTATCAACATGTCTTTGACTTTGGGACAGCTAATTTCAAATGACTGAGAGCATAAATACTAATTTAAAAATCATCGAACTTCGAAAAACAGCTGAAAAGAACAACAGAATCAGCACTACATATTTTAAAATTGTTTAGAAGTAAGAAAAATCTCAAGAAAGTGAAATGGCATTC